CTGAATGTTTCTGAGGATGTGCTGCGTGAGTCACTAGCATCTGGGCGTGGTTGAAAGTTTCTGTTGACAATATATACATGAGTAGTCAAGAAGATCTTTTATGTGAAACCGTTGAATGAAAGTAGTTTCCAAATTTGACGTGTACTATTTAAGTTTAAGAATTTAAACATCCTTGTTGAAAATTCATGACAGCTCTTCACGCCTGATTTCAACTGTAACCATTTCTTGTAGCAATTCTATACATGTTTCAGGTGTGATTGCATACGTGCACGATTTATTTCACTTGATGTGATTTTAACTACAAAGAAGGGCGTACTGTGGAAAATGTTAGAAATATTGAATGTTTCATTGGTATGCTTTTCTCAATGTATAGGGGATGTGTTCAACAGGTCAAATCGTCTTTTTGAAGGAACAAATAAATTTGAGGGCGGTTGTCATCCATGACAACGTCACACACGTCAACGGTCAGGTAACACATGACAACGGTCACGTCACACATGAGAGCGGTCACGTCATACACGTCAACGGTCACGTAAGACATGACAATGGTCACGTCACACATGACAACGACTCACATGACAACGGTTACGTCACACATGACAACGTCACTCACGTTAACGGTCACACACACATGTCAACGGTCACCTCACACATGACAACGGTCACGTCACACACGTCAATGGTCACGTAACACACGAGAACATCACACATGACAACGGCCACGTCACACACGTCAACGGTCACGTCACACATGACAACGTCTCACATGACAACGGTTACGTCACACATGACAACGTCACTCACGTTAACGGTCACACACACAGAGGTCAACGGTCACCTCACACATGACAACGGTCACGTCACACACGTGAATGGTCACGTAACACACGAGAACATCACACATGACAACGGCCACGTCACACACGTCAATGGTCACGTCACACATGACAACGTCTCACATGACAACGGTTACGTCACACATGACAACGTCACTCACGTTAACGGTCACACACACATGTCAACGGCCACCTCACACATGACAACGGTCACGTCACACACGTCAATGGTCACGTAACACACGAGAACATCACACATGACAACGGCCACGTCACACACGTCAACGGTCACGTCACACATGACAACGTCTCACATGACAACGGTTACGTCACACATGACAACGTCACTCACGTTAACGGTCACACACACATGTCAACGGTCACCTCACACATGACAACGGTCACGTCACACACGTCAATGGTCACGTAACACACGAGAACATCACACATGACAACGGCCACGTCACACACGTCAACGGTCACGTCACACATGACAACGTCTCACATGACAACGGTTACGTCACACATGACAACGTCACTGACGTTAACGGTCACACACACATGTCAACGGCCACCTCACACATGACAACGGTCACGTCACACACGTCAATGGTCACGTAACACACGAGAACATCACACATGACAACGGCCACGTCACACACGTCAACGGTTACGTCACACATGACAACGTCTCACATGACAACGGTTACGTCACACATGACAACGTCACTCACGTTAACGGTCACACACACACATGTCAACGGTCACGTCACGTTATGACAATAGTCTTTTCGGGTTTCATGAGTGAAACATAAATAGACAGTCATCCATTGTAACCCACCGATCCTCACTTTTGTGGGTACCGTAGCAATTGGTTTACACATGCATCGCAATTCTTCACAGACCGATTACTACACACAGGGGCAAGTTAAAACAGAAATAGTTGCCATGGCTACCAGACTGGATCGGACTGCATAAAATGTGTTTCCGTTCTTATGTAGTTGGGGCGGTCGGGTAGCCTAGTGGTTAAAGTGTTTGCTCGTCACGCCAAGGACGGGTTCGATTCCCCACATTGGTCCAATGTGTGAAGCCCATTTCTGGTGTCCCGATGTGATATTGCTGGAATATTGCTAAAAGCGGCGTAACACAATGCTCACTCACTCTAACCCGGAATCACTGTTAATTTATTTGTCTGGGCCAAACTAGACCATTTATCGTAATACTGATACATCTGTAGCAATTCTGACTGTGCAGCGGTCTGTAAATAATGAAATCAGGATAAGACAAACCAAGGGCTGAAATCATGAGCAGCGATACAGGCCATTCGTGAACCCCCCCCCCCCCCCCCCCCCCCCCCGCCCTCCCCACACCCTAGTGAAGGAACAGCCCTGATAGTTAACAGGAGAACCCAGGCCAGAAGACGTCGGACGGTCAGGTGACTTGATTGCGCGTCATGTTATCCCAGCGGCGTGAAACATTGCTCATTATATCAACCACTGGTTTGTCTGGCACAGACTCGATATTTATGGAATATTGCATTGCAATGTAAAACACCAACACAAACAAACGAAACGGGAAGGCTGGCGTGTGTCTTTAAATACCATGCACTAATAGGCACCCTGTACTAGAGTCGCGAGTCGGGGAGAGGAGATATGAAAGATGAGACATTTCGGTTGGCGTAAAAAGCCAGCTGCGTAGCTTTCGTCCCGAGGAATGTGACACCGGCCTCATAGACGGCCAGTGTTTAAACAAACAACCACCCAAAAAATGAAATGTATCAGTTATGACACAATCCACTGTCTTACAGACGATGAGTATATGCATGTAGGGCTATAGGGTGCTTGGTGTTTGTGTGTGGCTGCTTGTAGTAGTCCGGACTAAAGCCGAGTTTATAGTGCTAGCCCACTGAAATACCATGCCGAACGCCAGGCAAGGTAACAACAAGTACCATCATTTAACGTCTTTCGATATGACACGACCGAAGCTTGAACAACCGAACTTAAGCTCTCTGGGCAGACGCTCTATCCACTAGACCACGGAGGGGATTGTTTTCTTCGAAGGTTTATATGATATACAGTACTATCCAAAGTTAGCGCTCAGTCTGGTAAACGCCACCTATTAGTGAGAGGCAGGCGACGAAACGTCCTCAGTCATAAAATAAAAACGTGTCACTTTGTACTCGCTTGCCATAAAAGTCATAGTTATTTTACAATTCAAATTTCGTTTTTGCACCGGATGTCGACTTTTTGCACCCACCATCTCATTTAATGTTTGTCAGCTGTGCCGATGATTTGTTTGTTAGTTGTTTAACGCCGCCCTCAGCAATATTCCAGCTATATGACAGCGGTCTGCAAATAATCGAGTCTGGACCAGACAATCCTGTGATTATTGACATCTTGTTCATCGATCTAATACATATCGAGTTCAGCGTTAAATACGAAAAAATAGTTAAAGTAAAATTTTACTGGCCGAATGTAGAGTTGTCTTATATAAGATTTAGTGGTGAGGCTGTTGTCGCTGGTGTTTGTGTGTGCAATATTGGTTTTCATGTATCGTACATTTTACCGTCATACTTATATAAATTGTAATGACGTTTAAGCGGCGTTCAACTTTTTTGTACCCTAAGGTTCTAAATCAACCTTTTACTGGAGGTGCAGTAAATACCTTGATTTATAGGGTCATAAGGAAATATTACCAAGGCGTGTCAGCTAAATTTGGGAGGAGAGCCCAAAGTGATCAAGTCTTAGACGCTCTCCCTTTTTATGTTTGTTGATAATGCCACACTCAGACTCAATTATTTACATACGGCTGTCATGTAGCTGGAGTGAGTTAGTGAGTATGGTTTAACGTCGCTTTTAGTAATATTCCAGCAATATCACGGCGGGGGACACCAGAAATGGGCTTCACACATTGTACCCATGTCGGGAATCGAACCCGGATCTTCGGCGTGACGAGCGAACGCTTTAACCACTAGGCTACCCGACCGTCCCCATATAGTTTGAATATGGCAGAGTGCGGCGTTAAACAAGACTATGGTGTTGACAAACCAATGAGCGGTTATAGGATTCGAACCCACGCCCAGTGGATCCTCGCATGTAAAGTCAGGTTGTTTGACAAACATTATTTTCGTGATGAATATTAAAAGTATTTAAAAATTCATAATCAGGTCAGTGAAACTTTGGAAAAGAGTTGCTGTGGTGAAAGCTGACATTGCTAGCTGCGGGAGGCGTAGAGAAAATACCACTCTCTCATTCACTATGGCGATAAGGAGGAGAAGACTTGATGCGTGGACAGGTTTCTAATTGATCGGTCGAAACATTATTTTAAAACTTTCTCTTGTCATGAAACCCAAGCAGACACGAGAGGCAAAAGATGTATGTGTTTCTTGAGCGATGTTGACTAAAATATGATATGTTAAATACAAAATAGCTGTGGTTATACCCCCCAAAAATAAATAAATATATAAAAAAAATACAAAAAAATAAATAAATAATGATAATAGTTGTTGTTGTTTGTTGTTTTACGCCGCACTTAGCAATATTCCAGCTATATGACGGCGGTCTGTAAATAACTTAGTCTGGACCAGACAATCCAATGATTGGCATCATGAGCATATGATCCACGCATTTGGGATACAATGACATGCATCAACCAAGTCAGCGACCCTGACCACCCAATCCCGTTAGTCGCATCTTACGACAAGCATAGTGGCCCTTTAGGGCAAGCATGGGTTGCTGAAGACCTATTCTGACCCGAATATCCATGGGTCAGTAATAATAATAGTATTAATGGGGATAAAATAAAATGATGATTATGACAACGTCGATGACAACAACAACAACAACAATAATAATATTATTATTATTATTATTTTTATTATTATTATTATTAATAATAATAATAATAATAACAACAACAACAACAACAACAATAATATATGTATGTTTAAATAAGCATGTAGATTTCTAAGGAAGATGCATTCAGGACAGACGTTCAGGTAAATTGATCGCCCGACAGGTGTGCATCGGGTAGACTGACGGACGGACAGCCACCCGCAGCAGACCCCAGTTACGTAACTGTCTACCAAAATGTGACAGCATACTACCAGACTGTAAAAGAAGCTTACTTAAACAGCCTAAATGATTTAAAATGACATAAACTCACATTCAAGCGTTTCCTGATCCCATCGGAAAGGACGACCTCTCCTTCCATATCTACCCGATAAGCCCACTATTGCATAAGTGATATATATATACAGAGTCCTCGTTTCTCCCTGTCGTAATCGGCGTAACCTCAACTGTCAACAGTGTAGCCCTATATCGCGGTATCAATATGAGCGTTCGGTCGAAAGTGTTTGCACAATGTAAAGTGAGTCAGTAAATGTATACTGCGTCGAGAAAACCTTTTCATGTATACGCCATACGCAAAGTAAAGAAAATCGTTTTTCCCTGAATTGGTGGTTTGAAATATTTTATATCGACACGTGGATTTATTTCTAGAATTGTAAAAGGGTAAAAATTTGGATTTTGTTTAGTACAGGTGTGCATACTTATGTTAAATCTACATCTTACAAATAAGACGCAATATGACGTGGTTCTATGTATGTAGAAATATACATTTGACTCGTTACATGGCAATTTTTTTTGAGGTGATGAGGATAGATGAAGTGTGCGATGTTTTAACGGTAAATCCCGAGTACTAAAACTATTACACATGTATAAGTTCAAAGCAATATTTCTTTAAACTCTCCCAATATCTATACAATGGAAGTGGCTTGTATCTAACAAACAAGTCGAATTACTGGTGTCCCCTCCGGGCTATTGCTGGAATATTGCTAAATGCGGCGTAAAACCATACTCACTCACTACCATAATGAGCTACGTTGATCTGTACCAGATGAATAGACATGTTAAAACTAACTAAAATAGTTCACAAATAGCAGTTACGTATTGTTTATTATTTGTTACTTGAACAAGATTTTGAAATAAATCACGTTTATTTGTTGGAGTGAGTTGGCTTTAACGCCGCTTTTAACAGCATTCCAGTCATATCACGGTGTGTCATGATAATGTGGGAGGAAAGCCCGAAGTGATGCAGGTCTCAGACGTTTACCACTTCAGTGAAACCAACGAGCACGGGTATGGTGCTGACAAACCTAGAGACATAATCGGGGCGAACCGGGATTCGAACCCACCCATCATAGGTTTCTGGCGTGCCCAAGTGACTGCAAACTATGCACAGCGAATAATGAATGGCACCTTAGACGACTGGGCCGCCCGTTTCCTTTACTTGTTGTAAGGTTGATATATCTTACAAATATTCCTCAATCATATTTCTAATTCAGAAATTTAGAAATAAACGAAAGCGGTAGGTTTGAAGGCCGTGGATAAACACCGTTTACATGTGTGTTTATTTTTGTACAGTCAAGCTTTTATGACTGTGTTGCAATCCAACGCTGAACTCGAAGTGAGACGAATATCAATTCACTTCTTGACACGTGAAGTGAGACATGGGTCAAAATTCGGTTCAAGCTTGTGACTCAATTGTGTGAAAATGGTTTCATTTTCACTTTCTACGCGTTGTAAAGAAAACGAACTCCCCACCAGCGCAGAGAGCAAGATACGTCATGCTGTGTCTTCTTGTATCACTTTGGGACTTTTCACAACGATTAAAGTCGGGAGAAATAGTTTCACGGTTGAGTTGGCCGTAATGCACATTTCCATAATATTATCTTTTTTTCTGTGAGGACGATCTGCGGAGTGAATGAGCGAGTGATTGGGTGGGTTCGGTCGTCTAAGGATGAGTGAGAGACTGAGTGAGTGGGTTGGGCAGTGGATGGATGAATGAGTGAGTGAGTGGGTTTGGTCGTGAGTGAGTGAACTTTGTGAGTGAGTGAGTGAGTTAGTTAGTGGACGTTCGCGTTTTCATGTTTTAATAATTATTTACTTCTTCCTACTTGTTTCCACAGCATGTGTCCATTAATCACAATAGGGACGCTATATATCAATATGGATGCACGTGAGGAGGGTTTAGCGTCGCTTTTAGGAGCATTTTATTTATATCACGACGTGTCAATTTATTGTGGCAACGCCCACCAGCTGGGGTATGGCCTGACAGACCAACAGTCGTTATCGCGGTACTTCTGGTTACGAAATACACATCAGCCGTTTATGTCAAGATTAGGATACGCAACTATACATGGCCGTGTTCTCCGTCTGAGACGACGCTCACCTGTGTCATCGACACGACACCACCTGTGAAACAGGTCCGTATTGCAAACTCGAAACATTCGTTAGAGTGAGTGAGTATGGTTTAAGACCACTTTTAGCAATATTCCAGCAATATCACGGCGGAGGACACCAGAAACGGGCTTCACACATTGTACCCATGTGGGGAATCGAACGGCGTGACGAGCAAACGCTTTAACCACTAGGCTACCCGCCCTATTTCGTTAGACAAACCTTTTCTTCTTTTAACACCCTAACCGTTTAATCTAGAAGTGAAAAGAATGTACTCTAACTGCGGTTTAACATTATACACATTATCTAACTTTAAATGAATGTTTAAATTAATTTAATTTTAGAAACTGAGTTGGAACAAAATCTATGATCGATTTTCCAAACACAACCGAGGTGAAGGATTTTTTCCAAAAATATCAAATATTGTTCAGTGTTAGTTTTTCGATATTCGATATTATTTAATAAAAATACATCTGAGGTCAGTTGCTAATATCAAATAACATAATAAGAGAGTACCCTAGGTACTAAAAGATACCGGTTTGAGCAGAGTTGTCCCTGTCCACGCCAGCCGTACAAACAACAACAACAACAACAACAACAACAACAACGTCTTAACACACGTCACCTTATAGCTGTATGATAGTATTATTTCCTTCCTTCAAAAGTCCAAAGGTCACAATCAGGTGACGTCATTTGCCGGTGATTTACTAGTAATTGAAACCACGTGAGTGACAATTAAATGAATCTTGAATGAAATCGTTATTCCAAGTGTTCATTCAGCAAGTTTAAATCTGCGGTGTTATGTCACGTGGTCTTGAGGCCGGTCAATTCAATGAATTTTGAAACAAGGAAGTATTCCCTGGCTGGTGTGTCGTCTACATTCAATACGAACTTGCCCCATTTATGAATTAACTGTTGGAGAGCAATGGCGATAATAGCAGTACATGGCCACGCCCATATTTTTTAATGGAATATTTTGACAAGCTGTTCATAGGCGAATATATTTATTATCAATGGAGAGAGACAGAGACAGTGAGTGACAGAGAGACAGAGAGTGACAGAGAGAGAGAGAGAGAGAGAGAGAGAGAGAGAGAGAGAGAGAGAGAGACCGAGAGTGACAGACAGGGATACAGAGAGAGACAGAGAGTGACAGACAGAGTGACAGAGGGAGACAGAGTGACAGAGAGACAGAGAGAGACCGAGAGTGACAGACAGGGATACAGAGAAAGACAGACAGAGAGAGACAGACAGAGAGAGACAGACAGAGAGAGACAGACAGAGAGAGACAGAGAGTGACAGACAGAGTGACAGAGGGAGACAGAGTGACAGAGAGACAGAGAGAGACCGAGAGTGACAGACAGGGATACAGAGAAAGACAGACAGAGAGAGACAGACAGAGAGAGACAGACAGAGACAGACAGACAGAGAGTGACAGACAGAGAGTGACAGACAGAGTGACAGAGGGAGACAGAGTGACAGAGAGACCGAGAGAGACCGAGAGTGACAGACAGGGATACAGAGAGAGACAGACAGAGAGAGACAGAGAGTGACAGACAGAGAGAGACAGACAGAGAGACAGAGGGAGACAGAGTGACAGAGAGAGAGAGAAAGAGAGTGACAGAGAGAAAGAGACAGACAGAGAGAGAGAGACAGGCAGAGAGAGACAGAGTGACAGAGAGAGACAGTCAGGGAGACAGAGAGAGAGACAGACAGACAGAGAGTGACACACAGAGAGTGACAGAGACATACAGAGAGAGAGTGAGAGAGAGAGAGAGAGAGAGAGAGGGGGGGGTGGGGGGGGGGGGGGGGGGGGGGAACCAATAGAGAAATTTCTGCTAAAAGCAGAGTCCATTTAACGATTCCGACTATATAACAAACCCGTGTTTATGAATCACTATCAAATAGTGATGATACCAGACGTTCTCGAAAGGATGAGCGTATCCTGCCCCATCTGTGGCACCCGGGGAGCGAAGTGTCAACTCGCACAGACACGGAAAACACATCCATATACCCACATATATACAGAAACACATACATATACCCACACAGACACATACATACATATACCACACAGGCACATACCCACAGAGAAACACATACATATACCTGCACAGGCACACGTACATATACCGACACATACATATACTCACACAGGCACATACATATACCCACAGAGATACATATACATATACATCCAAATGCATATACCACATACATATACCCACACATACATATACCCACAGAGATACACATACATATACATCCAAATGCATATACCACATACATATACCCACACATACATATACCCACACATACATATACCCACAGAGATACACATACATATACATCCAAATGCATATACCACATACATATACCCACACATACATATACCCACACATATATATACCCACAGAGATACACACATATACATCCAAATGCATATACCACATACATATACCCACACATACATATACCCACAGAGATACACATACATATACATCCAAATGCATATACCACATACATATACCCACACATACATTTACCCCACACATACATATACCCACAGAGATACACATACATATACATCCAAATGCATATACCACATACATATACCCACACATACATATACCCAGACATACATATACCCACAGAGATAAACATATATATACATCCAAATGCATATACCACATACATATACCCACAGAGATACACATACATATACTTCCAAATGCATATACCACATACATATACCCACACATACATATACCCACAGAGATACACATACATATACTTCCAAATGTATATACCACATACATATACCCAGACATACCTATACCCACAGAGATAAACATATATATACATCCAAATGCATATACCACATACATATACCCACAGAGATACACATACATATACTTCCAAATGCATATACCACATACATATACCCACACATACATATACCCACAGAGATACACATACATATACTTCCCAAATGTATATACCACATACATATACCCAGACATACATATACCCACAGAGATACACATACATATACCCACACATACATATACCCATAGAGATACAC